TTATTGCCATTTTGGTGTAGTTTTAAGTGATATATTTTAAGTATTGGAGTTGGAAATTTTGGTACAAGCTGGTAATAAACTGCCAGTACCTTCACTGTTATTTTACAGACTTAAGTCTCTCTAAATTATTTCTTATACAATATATTGTTTCAAACTACACCTTCCTTATAAATAACTCAATATATTTATTTGTATAAAACTTTTGTCAAACTGGTGTCTAAATTTCAGAAGTAGTGAATCACATTTGCATGTCAGTTTTATTGTATTATGGTTGGTTTATTTAATTTTTTTAATTATCTAAATTTCTTTTTTTGCACTTAATACTGATAAAAAAAATTCCACATCAATTAGATTAATTAAATTAAAAATATATATTTTTTTAAAAATCTGAATGGGCAAATAATTAAATTAAATGATATACATTGTAGTGTTGTCACGATACCATTAATTCACATTATGATACTATACCAGCAGAAGTATCATGATACCAAGTAGTATTGCGATACTGTAATTCATAACTCAAATCTATGAAACTAAGAAAATTGTCTGAAATACTATATTTTAGATGTAATAATAGGCCTACTTGAATTAAATTCGGAATTCCCTTATTATTGAAAAGTATTTGCACATTACTTCACCTGAAATGCATTTGTTTTGTTTTTATTTTGTAGATAACTGACCAAAGAAAAAAACATTGAAATAAAGATACAAATTATACCTAATGAAATTCATTACAAAAAGAGCAAGTTAGGGTATATGAAGTGAAAGTTTTCTGTTGCTTTTTTGTTTTTTATATCTATTGTTTTTATTTTTATAAGTCTTAGTAATTAGTAAGAGTAATTAGTAATCCAAAGTAATTCAAAACTTCCCTTTGTAACTTTTTAAGAGATTGTTGAGGTTGTTGTAGCTGCTAAATCATATTGACAGGAACAGAAATAATCTGAAGCATCAGAAAACATGCAATAGGCTACCATAAAAGACGTGAACTCTACAAAGTTTTACAACCTTAAAGTGCTCCAGAGATTATTCAGATAAAATGGTCTATAGTTGCACAATTGTGTGAGTATTTTAGTGACTTTCCACATGCAACATTATCTATTATAGATAAAGCGGTAATGGCGATACTACCAATTACAAACTGCAGTGGGCACCCTCAGTATTTTGGAGCCATAGTATAACGATACTACCATAGTACCAGTAAACTGTGCAACTGTTTATGCACAGTTACAATGTTAGGATCATAAATCAATCACAACAAAATGAAATCGATTGACATGCACAGCTTGATTAAAATATACGTCTGACTGCTTGTGGTATTTTATATATATATATATATATATATATATATATATATATATATATATATATATATATATATATATATATATATATATATGGTATTAAATAAATGCAAATGTACAGGGGGACCACATCTTGAACCAAAACTCCAAAACTCATACATATACTGTATCATCCTAAAACTTCACCTCCAACCCCCAAAAGCCCTAAAAACACCCCATCACTAGGACACAAGATGCAGAACGACACCAAAAGAAGGGCAAGACAGAGTCGTCCATTCCATTATTACTGTAAATACAATGGCTACATGGCAGCCACGGCGTCCAGAGTTTCCAGTCACCCTCCATTGACAGAGCCATAAATCACGGCCGGGGCTTAAGTGAATTACTGCAGCAGGGGGTTGTGCTTTTAACAATGTTTATGTAGTATCAGCTTACCATCTCTCCCGAAACAGAGCGAGAGATCCGAGAGAGTCTTATTAACTGGCCGGCGATACATCACAGCCTTAAAGACCCTCATCCCGCGCATTATACTAATAACCAATAACCGAATATTACCTCTATTAAGAGGCGGCTAATTAGATTGTGCCGGTTACAATTAAATACTTGATAAGGTTCGATCCATTAGAGGACTGTGGGAAAGGTGTGAGGGAGAGAGAACAGACGTGCTTTATTAGTGGTCGTGATGGCGAATGAGGACGCGGCCGGCAAGGCTTGCACGCTTTTTGGAGTGTTGTTGACTGAACAGCTGGTTGTTGTGCTTTGTTGCGAACAGGTGCGGGTATTGTGCGCCGTTCTAGACCTTTGGAGTTAGAGTCGATGGTGTAGTTAATTTGTTGGGAACGACATGAAGAACAATGCGAGGGCTTGAAGGATGGACTGTGCAGCAATGCTTTCTGTTGTTGTTTTTTGTCAGTTGCAGTAATTACATTATGCTGGAGTACTTTCAGGGTGAAAATGAACATTTAGATTTTGACCTTTTATTCAAAGTGCGACAACGTGATTCTTTATTTGTCAAAAATTTAGCAAGGTTATATATATTTACAGTGCAAGACTAAAATAGTTTTAATAAAATGCTTTTAATAATTTAATTCTTTTGTTTTTGCCGTGATTACAGTACATGTTATATTACTGGTTATTTTGCAGGATACTAATATCAAGTCAAAGTCAGCTTTATTGTCATATCAACCACATGTACAGGACATACATGCTATATTAAGCTTAAAGTGTCATTAAAGGCTTAACTCGGTTAGTAAGAAAATGTTATTGGACAACAGTAGTTTGGTCTGTAGCCAATTGGAGAAAAAACAAGAGATGGTATTTGACCCAAAGTGTATAGGTGACCATCGTCAAGTGGTTGTCCTATTACTCAGTCAGAGACCTATAAGTACTTGGGCATTTACATTGACAGTTCTTTAACATGGAAGACACACATATAGTGGGTTTGCTCTTGTTTACACCAGAGATAGTATTTTTTTTTATGGAGTTACGTCTTTTTGGAGTTAACAAGGAGCTTATGATGTTGTTTTATAAAGCTGTTCTTGAAAGCATTGTTAGATATGGTATCATATGTAAGTTGATATATCTATTTATGATATATATCTATTCATGATATAAACCTAAGTTGATGCATCTCTTAAATACAGGATGGAAAATTGTTGGGCACGATGAATGTAAACAATGAGTAGGTTGAATCGATGGAAGAAATATTTTGTCCCAGTTTCAGTGGTTTTATTTAACAAGAGTTTATCTCAGTTAGCTTGAGAATTATTGTAACTACTGTATTTTGTATTGTTTTTATTGTTTGTTTTTATGGAATGTCTGCAGCAATATGGTGTTGCCCATAACAAATGACCTGTCAAGGACAATAAAGTTTACCACTACTACTACTAAACATGTTAAAAACGCTTTTAATCCAAGCAAACTAATATAAATGCTAAATAAATACTAAATAAAAGACTTTCCTCTGAAGACAAAATAGCTTGGGATATACACACACAGACACACACACACACACACATTCATATATGTTCCTTAATGTAACCAGTCGTGTTTTTGTACATGTGTTCACTTCAGCTATACTGCCGTGTTCTGTTTGGTGTCTTGTTTTTAGCTTATTGTGATTTTGGTTGTGTTTTAATTTATTGTTTTGTTTTAATGCAGTGTAGATGAAGTTAAACTTGGCTAAAGGGGTTAAAAATGTCAAAACCGCTTTTAATCCAGCTAAACTAAAATAAATAAGGATTTTCTCATGAAGACGAAATAATATAAGAAATACTGTGAAAATGTCTTTGCTCTGATAAACATACCTTGGGATATACATGTTGAATATGTTCCCTAATGTGAGAAGCAGCGTCTTTGTACATACATTCACTTTAGCTATACTGCTGTGTTCTGTTGGGTGTCTGTATAGACGTCTTGTTTTCAGCTTATTGTGATTTTGGTTGTGTTTTTATTTATTGTTTGGTGTCAGTGTAGTTTAGATAAAGCTAAACTTGGTTAAAAATGTTAAAACCACTTGTAATCCAGACAAACTAAACGATATAGAGATTTTCTCATGAAGACAAAATATTATAAAAAATACTGTGTAAATGTTCTCGCTCTCATAAGCAAAGAAATTGAAAAATAATAACAAATAGTAACAAATCCAAGTACGCATCTTTGAATCCTTTTTTTCAGTGAATCTGTTATGTTTTGTATTATGATTCGGCAATTAATTCAATCTGAAAATAAAATTCAGTCATGGATCCTTTCATAAGATCTCATAATAAAGTCTATTCATATTTATAATGCTGTTAAACTTGAACACATTTTTAAATTACGCACACTTACAACACTACTGGAATCAATTCAGTGTTTTTAAATAGTGTTCTTGTCTCTTTTCATTGACTGTAATAATGCATTTCCATAGTTATTAACCTCATAACACTGTTTGTAATGCTAGAAAACAATAAATAAACTTGTACATAAACTCTTTTGGAAAAAATAACTAATAATTGTTGTTTTTATTACTATACTTACAGTATACACTGTTGTGGGAATGTTTCTAGTACAATCGCTATTTTGTCAAGTCAATGACGATGATGTTTTTTAATATCTGAGATTTCAAAAAAAAAAAAAAAAAGTGCAAGTCTTGATTATGAACCAGTCCCAGCAAGCATTTTTTGTTTTTAAAAGATGTCTAATAGATGTTTAATAGACGTCTAAACGTAGTCGTCTTGGCTAAAACAAGGCTAAATGTGGGCTGTCAGTAAAAATCTTATAGAGGTCTAAGAATAGGCCAAAACTAGACTAGTCCTCAAATAAACAGAAATGAATGACTACACATATAAAGTCTGTCTAATCTGTTTATTTGACGACTAGTCATGTTTTGGGCTAATCTTAGACGTCTATTAGATTTTTGAGTATTTAGCCTTGTTTTATTTAGCCAAGCTGTCTAAATTTAGATGTCTATTAGACATCTATTAAGCACAAACTGTTTACTGGTGTTTGACACTTCCTCAAGTCCCTCAGTATCCACCTATGATTGTGTGTATGTGTGTGTGACTATTTTAATCCAATAAACTCTCCAAAAACACTCTACTTCTGTACCGTGTGTGCAATACATCCCCATCTGCATGATCACTCCAATCCACCACCCAAACATCCACAAGTCTCTTCACGTTTCCATCTGACCAAACTCTTGTCTTTGTCCTCTTCCAGCGAGTCCACACGCCACGCCGTCAAGTCTTCATTTCCCGACGTCGCCAATCATCCAGCAGCCCGGCTCCTACTTCTCCCACCACGCCATTCGCTACCACCCACAGGAGACGCTAAAGGAGTTTGTCCAACTTGTCTGTCCTGACAGTGGTCAGCAGGCTGGACAGGTGGGCTTCCTTAATGTAAGAAGCAGCATTTTTTGTTCATACATTGACTTCAGATATACTGCCATGCTCTGTTTTGTGTCTAAATAAATGTCCTGTTTTTAGATTATTGCAATTTTGGGTGTGTTTTGATCCGTTGTTTAGTGTTTAGTGCAGTGTAGATGATGTTAGAATTGTTAACGGGTGTGATAGGATGGATAAAATTATTATTTCCTTTGGAAATGCTCTTGAGATTAGCATCCTGGCTTGCTTCAGTCCTAGAAGTGGTTACATTAGCCGCATTTCCACTGTCGGGCCAGTGCGAGCCAGGGCTTTTATGTGGAGGGCACGGGCCAATCACCGGAGAGGTTGAGCAGTGAGGCTGAAATCATGTCGCATTTCCACTGTTGTGCTAATAACTCGCAGAGTGGCACACAAACCCCGATTGAAAGCTAGTTTCTGATGGTTTCGCTCACCCCAAAAATGCAATGTTTGCACAATTTGATTAATAGTGTCATATCCAAATCATTTATAAATAATATTTCAAAACTCCTTCGTTGTTTATTGGTTTTAGAAAATATATAAAAACCTTCAGATTTATAAAATGAAAGTTCAAAATGGCTTAAATGGTTCCATTTATTTGTATTGTAATAGCTTTTGTTTGTTTTATATTAGTTTATTTATTTAATTAGTTTTTCTTATATCCGATATTTATAATACTTTAAATGATTTCAGTAGCCTATAGCTTATTTTATCTTGACCTATGACACTACAAAAGTGGACACGTAATTTTTAAAGTTTTATGTCTTTCTGTTGTATTCATATTGTGTATTATCTCTGAAATAAAGAAAAAAAGAAGCCACTCGCGGCAACGACAGAGCTGTGAATAGAGCGCTCTTTCGGACGGTTTTTCACACACACACACACACACACACACACACACACACACACACACATGCATCTAAACGCACATGTTTCATCCACAGACACACCATTTAAACTTGACAAAAACTCTCGACAACTGAAAGTTACTGGCTGCTGTGTCTTTAATGTGGTATAAAGATTATTATGTCTTATTGAAACATCAAGGAGGACGCAGCAAAGAAATATCACTTATTAAATTAAAACTACTTTAATTATTATTTTATGCAACTGCCTTACATTTAAAAGGGAAACATAAAGGCAATCTTAAACAAAAGGCCCCTAGTCTACTATAAGGTGTTTCATGGAATATCTTAAACTGTTATTAAACTGTAAACCAGTTATTTTTTAGTGCATGTACTGGTGCGTGATGGGAAAACTAGTGTAATAACAGGGTACACCATCTTGCAAACTCCACCTCTGCCTTCACTTTGCCCCCTCTTTGGTTTAAGTTATTTGGCGGGCCAAAAACGGCCAGCTACTGGCCCAGAGAAAGTCCCACTTTTGCGCATATTTCCCAAATGATGTTTAACAGAGCAGGGACATTTTCACAGTATGTCTGATCATTTTTTCTTCTCATTAGTTTTATTTCGGCTAGAATAAAAGCAGTTTTAAATTTTTTAAACACTATTTTAAGGACAGAATTATTTGCCCCTTTAAGCCATATTTTTTCGATAGTGTGCAGAACAAACCATCATTATACAATAACTTGCCTAATCACCCTAACCTGCATAGTTAACCCACTTAATCTTGCTAAGCCTTTAAGCTGTATAGAGGTGTCTTGAAAAATATCAAGTCAAATATTATATACTGTCATCATGACAAAGATAAAATAAATCAGTTATTAGAAATGAGTTATTAAAACTATTATGTTTAGAAATGTGTTGGAAAAATCTTCCCTGCGTTAAACAGAAATTGGAGAAAAACATGAACAGGGTGCAAATATTTCAGGGGGGGGCTGATAATTCTGAATACAACTGTATTTTTTAACAATTTCAAAAAAACTATTTTAGAGTAATCTAACTATTTCATCTAAAAGTTACAAAGCATTATAAATATCCTCCACAAAATCTCCACGTTTTTGTTTTTTTTTCTATCTGGGATGACTAATAAATCCCAATCTCTGAGACCCCAAGCTCTGGTCACAGTGACGTGGCCCTGACGGCCAGTGCTTTGGCTCATAGATTATGAACAGTGAAAAACGCACAGCAGCAGAATATTTTTTTTTATGACTGGAAGCAGTGAAAAATAGCTGAGCAGGTGGTTCTTCTGCACACATGTGTGAGATGCTGTTGTTGTGCCTTCTGGTCATATGCGTCCAGAAGGTCATATTTTTATTTTATGCTCTGTAAAATTCTGAAATATTATTCAAATTTATTATAACCATTTTTTTTACTGAATGTATTTTAAATTGTATTTATTCCTGTCAACCAAAGCGATGTTTCTTCAGTCTTTAGTGTCACATGATCCTTCAGAAATCATTTTAATATTCTGTTTTATCATGATCCATTATTATTGGTACTTAGTAATAAATATCAATACATACTCGTGATTCTCATATGTCCTGTCCATTGTCTCCAGCCCAATGGGAGCAGTCAAGGGAAGGTGCACAACCCGTTCCTGCCCACCCCGATGCTGCCGCCCCCTCCACCGCCCCCGATGGCGCGACCCGTTCCTCTGCCCGTGCCAGACTCTAAACCTCCATCCACCTCCACTGACGGAGGAGGAAACTCACCCACTTCACCCAGTGAGTGTCTGACCTCTTGTATGACCAGTCATCTGATGCCACACACAACACTGACTAAAGGTAGAAATCAATATGGATGCATTATACACTGCAGGCATTATATTTTTGAAAAGCACAGGTAGGTAGATAGATAAGAGAATGAATGGACAGATAGATTTATTATAATTATTTTTATTTATTATTTTTGTTTATTAGCCGTCGTTTTTTGAAAGCTGTTAGCTCTGTCAGCACATTTTGATTTTAAAAATACAGACAATATTAATATAATCGACATTGTCAACTGAACTAACAATAATTATAAACACTAATAATAATACAATTTAATCAGCTAGATTGAATAATAAATATATATGATAGATAGATAGATAGATAGATAGATAGATAGATAGATAGATAGATAGATAGATAGATAGATAGATAGATAGATAGATAGATAGATAGATAGATGGATGGATGGATGGATGGATGGATGGATGGATGGAAGGATGGATGGATGTATGTATGGATGGATGGATGGATGGATGGATGGATGGATGGATGGATTCTAAACTGACAGACGGACAGATTGATTGATTGATCAGATAGATTCTAGACTGATAGATAGATAGATAGATAGATAGATAGATAGATAGATAGATAGATAGATAGATAGATAGATAGATAGATAGATAGATAGATAGATAGATAGATAGATAGATAGATAGATAGATGGATGGATGGATGGATGGATGGATGGATTCTAAACTGACAGACGGACGGATTCTGGACTGACAGACAGACAGATTGATTGATTGATTGATTGATTGATTGATTGATCAGATAGATTCTAGACAGATAGATAGATAGATGGATGGATGGATGGATGGATGGATGGATGGATTCTAAACTGACAGACGGACGGATCCTGGACTGACAGACAGACAGATTGATTGATTGATTGATTGATTGATTGATTGATCAGATAGATTCTAGACTGATAGATAGATAGATAGATAGATAGATAGATAGATAGATAGATAGATAGATAGATAGATAGATAGATAGATAGATAGATAGATAGATAGATAGATAGATAGATAGATAGATAGATGGATGGATGGATGGATGGATGGATGGATGGATGGATGGATTCTAAACTGACAGACGGACGGATTCTGGACTGACAGACAGACAGATTGATTGATTGATTGATCAGATAGATTCTAGACAGATAGATAGATAGATAGATAGATAGATAGATAGATAGATAGATAGATAGATAGATAGATAGATAGATAGATAGATAGATAGATAGATAGATAGATAGATAGATAGATAGATAGATAGATAGATAGATAGATGGATGGATGGATGGATGGATGGATGGATTCTAAACTGACAGACGGACGGATTCTGGACTGACAGACAGACAGACAGATTGATTGATTGATTGATTGATTGATTGATTGATCAGATAGATTCTAGACAGATAGATAGATAGATAGATAGATAGATAGATAGATAGATAGATAGATAGATAGATAGATAGATAGATAGATAGATAGATAGATAGATAGATAGATAGATAGATAGATAGATAGATAGATAGATAGATAGAATGTGTGCATATGTTATAATTGCTTAATTGTGTGTGTTCTATAATCAATCATTATTGGTATTGAATTATTAAAACCTTTACTGTGTCATGTATAATGCATGTTGTTTATATTCTAAATAAATACGAGCAATATTAATGTCATAAATAAGTGATCTGTAATATATATTTGAAACCGTACACGTGCTCGATTCAGAACGTCAGCGTGTCTCGGGTTTCTCAAGTGCGTGTAAGCTTATCTACAGTGCTTTTCCTAATGAATAGAATTTCCCATCAAACATGCGCAGTGTCCATATCAAGCCAGCTGTCCTGCTGCCGATACAATATTGATATTCATTTTGTGTGTGTGTGCTTAATTCTTACAGCCTACTCCACACCGAGCACGTCTCCCGCTCAGCGTTTTGTCAGCGTGGGCCCCAGAGACCCCAGCTTTGTAAATATCCCTCAGCAGCCTCAGGTGAGCACACATCCCAGAATCCCTCCAAGTCCATCAAGAGCGCTTGCTGTCTGTCATAATGGGCTTTTCAGCGCAGTTATGCCAGCTCGTATAACTCACTGTGAGAGCTCACAGCTGATTTATTGTGTGTAACTGGCATGTTCAGGCTTAGATTCAATGATGCAGTGGTCGCAAACTTGATTTATACCCCTCCAGCACACGATTAGTCGTCATATGATACAATTAATAATTTAACAAGCCGTTAATCTTAAGTGAACATTTGTGCAACGTTTATTCAACATATTTAACACAGAACCTGAGAAACTGGCTCATAAAAAAGCAGCATTTACTCAAGTGAATGTGTTTTGTGCTATGTCCTCATGCTAATTTCTCTGTCGGATCTGGATTATGATGCACTATGATGAATGTTGAGAAAATGTTGTTTAAACGTTCACCAGTTGAAGTCACTGAATGAGCGATGCCTTAGTAAAGGGTTAGTTCACCATATAAAGGGAAGTTATGGTGTTAATTTTTTTACCGTCCTGTCGTTTCAACCACCTGAGCCCTTCAATTCTCTTCAGAACACAAATTTAAGATATTTTAGATTAAATAAGAGAGCTCCCTCATCCTCCATAGACTGCAAAAGTCCTGGATCATCCAGAAATGTACCAAAAATAACCTCAAAACAGACTGTAATGCTAATGCTATAATGTTTCAATGAGGATATAATTAAGCTACGGAAATAAAAACAACTTTTTCTACAGTTTCTTCTCCTTAGTGTCAGTATAGGGGCACATTCTCTGCATGAGAGACTTCCTTTGTTTTAAACTAACAACTGAGGTCAGCCCTATGTCAGCTAGGGGTGTAACAGATTATGTAAACTTGTAACGATCACTTAGAGATCACCTCTCACACGTCATTCAGATCGCATGTATGAAAGCATTTAGGCTTTTCTGTAAAATATAATGATGACGAAAGAAGTTGTAGTGGGTTATTTAGTATGTGGTGTGTTTCATTAATGGTGTTTTTGTGACATTACTTGTTTGGCCTGCGTCAATGCATTCAGTGTAAGCTGCACGATTATTCATTAAAAGATTGGGATCTCAACACCCACGCAAAATAAACTCTAAATGATGGTGATTTGCATATGTTTATTACTGCTTTGAATCGCTGCATTCAAATCTGAAAACTCAAAAATCAAGAAAGAGATGGAGTCCTTAGTCTTTTGAGTTAGTTATGAAATTACAAACAGTCAAATAACACAGAAGTGCTGGGATAACAGATAATAGATAAAAGCATTGATGTTTATTAGGGGTGTGAAGAGACGCTTACTCCACGAAATGACAAAAGACGAAATTGGGTTCACGAGAATGACACGAGACGACATTCTTACACTATTTTTAAGAAATCGTCTTTTATTCAACTGAAGAAAAAAATCACAAATTACAAAACTGTTTAAGTGCTTTTTATATCAACTTGTAATGAACGTTATTTTACTTCTATTTTAATTAATTCTATGGAGCAAAGGGCATGCAAACAGTGCACAATATTTTGCTAATAGTCTATGTAAATGGAAAATAGTTTTTTAATAATTTTTAATATTAACAAAATAATTGCTAATATATGAATGGAAAATAGATTTTAATTTACTGAAAAAAATCACAAGCTGCAAAACATTTTAGGTGCTTTTTTAATGTAATGAATGGTATTTTACTTCTATTTTAATTAATTCTATGCCATAAAGGACATGCAAACACTATATTTAGCTATGAACTCTAAGTGCAACTCCGAGGCCTGGGTTGGCAGGTGTGTGCAAAGCACTTGATTTGCATTCAAATCCAATCCTGCCTCCAATCATCAATGCTAATTTCGCCCTCATGTTCCATGATAACGTCACAACTTACGAGACAACTTTTTACCTCGACGAGACATCTTGTCGTGATTTAATCTTGTGAGATCTTGTCATACGAGATCTTGTCACACCCCTAATGTTTATGGTAAAGATTAAAATAACTGTCGCATGCATTAAACAACTCTCCAATTTTTAATTGTAGGCAGCAATTACATTATGTAACCTATAGGTGGCGACAACCAGCCATCAAAAATATGCCACTGAATAATTCTAAAAAAAGGACACATCTAACGATGAAATGTGAAGTTTAATGAGTGAATAACTGAATCATTTATTGAAAATTAGACTTTAAAAAAATATACGTTAAAAATTAGAGTCATACATTTAGGATAATCAGCAACAGTAGTAGTACAATTTGTCTTCATTTTATTTTTAATAAACTTACAGGTTCTAAGTTCTGTTTGTTAAAACCAAAAGTGATTTGCAGTACTGTTTTTGTAATAATTTGAAAGCAAATTACATTTGCCGCCTCCTCTTTTGGGCTGATCTGAAAAACGGTCCTTTCCGTGACTAAAAAACCTTTACATGATCTGAACTACGAGATCCGTTACACCACTAATGTCAGCAAAGTGAGAGATAATGAGCTACATATTTTAGCTATCCTTGTGAATACTCTGAAGCTATAAGTGAAAAGTTAAACGTTCAAGTGCAAGTACATTCTGACACTTGTGCCATAAATAAAACCAACGCATGTTCATTTAAAAAAAAAAAAAAAAACAGAAACGAGCAGCTGAACTTTAAGGCATTTAAAGCCCACACTATTTAACCCCTGCTTTTAATGTATTCACAAACGGACGGCAGGATCACCCTGTTCATGTAAATGAACTTGTGTTTGTTTTTTCGCAGTTGTGTAAATGCTAATGCGTCTCGAAACGCCGTCTGTAACCTTAATCGTCACACACACGTACCTACAATGACAAATGCTGCCTGTGCTGCCACCTGCACTCACGCAAACAGACCAAAAAGAGCATCGGTTTCCTCTGTATACGCAGCTATAACAAACACACAGAAACACTCAAGACTGGATTGGATCAGAGAGGTTGTGTGTGTGTGTGTTATATGTCCGGAGGCCTGCAGCAGCCTCCCATCGATTTATTGACTGTGTCGCAGGCCGCAAGACACGCATCCCCCAGTAGAATGGAGGCAGGTGTTTGTCAGGCCGGCTGGGAGGAGAGCGGGGGGTTGTTATTATTTATTGTTTGTATTTATTTATTACTCCTACCCGCCTCCGCCTCCCCTTCTCTCTCTCTCTCTCTCTCTCTTTTGCACTGTGCTCTGTCTTCTGTCTTCTCTCCATCACCTTTTCCTCTCTCCCTTCCTGATTTCTTTCTTGCTTAGGTGGTGGTTAAGGGTTTTAAGTACTTGCATTTAAAGGTTGATCTTTATGTCTGTTCCTATTCTTTTAGTCAATATGAAGGATTGTTAGAGATTTGAAAAATATATTTAAGAACAATTCAAGTCAAACTGGACTTAAATCAGTTTGTTTCCTTTAGTTTTTTTAAGTGTTTATTAGTGCATTGCAAAAAGCAGTATGACAGAAATAGTCAACTTATAAAAGACAAATAATACAAACAAACAAAACGATAATAAACTATACTGTGCATTAGAATACAAAAATGTATGTTTGTTTGATGTTTTTTCTCTTTTGTACCACACTAACACTTTTGTTTCCAAACCAATGTTGTGCTCGTTATTAAATAATAACAACTAGTTACAGTTACTAGTTGCTTCATTCAAAAAGTAACTCGATTTGTCGATTACTTACACCCAAATGTAATGCGTTTCTGTTAAAAGCAATTTTTTAAGTTTCTTTTCCAAAGAACATTTGTAATGCTCCCATTCATAACATCACTTAAGTGCAGCATGGAAAATACACTGTTGATCAGCTTCACAGTTTTCATTAATTAGCATTTTCACAACTAAACTAAAGTCAGACCAGCAGCACAAAAATTAAAATATCACAAGGTGATAAACAAGCTTAATAAAATATTCAGAAACAAAAGAGCAAAAAATAAAGTTACTTCAGCATCATAAAAGTTTGTATTTAACCCTTAAACATGTTCCTTCACAGCTTGAGTATGAAAGTAGCGACACTATCCAACAACCTTTATGAAATAAAAAAGTAATCTAAATTCATTATTTTTCTTGTCGGCTTAGTCCCTTTATTAATCCGGGGTCGCCATAGCGGAATGAACTGCCAATTTATCCAGCAAGTTTTTACGCAGCGGATGCCCTTCCAGCCGTAACCCATCTCTGGGAAACATCCACAAACAGATTCGCACACACACTCATACACTACGGAACATTTAGCCTACCCAAATCACCTGTACCGCATGTCTTTGGACTGTGGGGGAAACCGGAGCACCCGGAGGAAACCCACGCAAAGGCAGAGAGATTACATGCAAACTCCACACAGAAACGCCAACTGAGCCGAGGTTCAAACCAGCGACCCAGTGACCTTCTTGCTGTGAGGCGACAGCACTACCTACTACGCCACTGCCTCACCCGTAATCTGAATTATCATTCAGAATCAATTTGCTGAAACATAACAACCATATATTTTATGCATTCTAAACCTAACAAAAACATAGCAGCTGCTCAAAAATCTAAACGATGAGCAGTTTCAAACTAACCACAAATTAAAGGTGGTATGTCCACAACTAATGTAAAGTAAGCTGTGTATATTTAAAGCAAAATCTGCTTTTGTATGTTTAACAATAAAAGATAATCACAGCATTTTTCCGAGCAATACAACACTATACATTTAAATAGCATGTTTTGAAATATATCAGAAATTTGTCTACTAAACTTATCAATTTTGTTATACAGGTAACAAATATGTGGTTATTTATTTGAAACAACAAACATAGTAGGATTAGTAATAGTGATTAATGATAGTTATGTCAACAGTCCCTCTGTCTCTCTTGCGCGCGCACTTGGCCTCTCTCGCGCACACCTGGACTCTGCTTTCGCTTTACTTACAGTTTGTCCAGGCTGGCTCCTCGTACACGAAGTATCTTCTTTACAGTGGTTGGTTGGCATCCACCAATCCCACAATGCGTCGCTGCTGTAAACAGGAACATGTATGCTAGACTGCAGCTAAAATGAA